CTAGCAGCAGCTCCTCTTCCTCCTCCTCTTCCTCCTCTTCCTCTGCCTCATCAACCTCCTCCTCCTCAAGTTCCAGCTCCTCTTCCTCCTCCACTACAGATGAAGACTCCTCCTGTAGCTCTGACGACGAAGTAGCTGAGGCCCAGCCAAGTTCCTCAGTGCAGCAAACCCTCCCTCCCAAGCAAACCAAACAGACAGGGAAATCCCGGGCGTCCTCCCACCCCCAGAGCCAGAAGCAGCCGGCGCAGCAGCCGGCGCAGCAGCCGGCGCCGCAGCAGAGCGGCAACAAGAGCAGGCCCAAAAAACGTGAGGGCATCCACCTGCCCACCACCAAGGAGCTGGCCAAGAGGCAGCGGCTGCCGTCGGTGGAGAACAGACCCAAGATCGCCGCCTTCCTGCCCGCACGGCAGCTGTGGAAGTGGTTCGGGAAGCCCACGCAGGTAAGCACAGCCTTTCCCACTTGCCTGTGGAAAGGGAGCCTTTCCATCTGGGCTTGGCGATGCTCTGCTGGTGTAACGTCCTCTGCTGAGGCCGTGAGGAGGTTGGGGTCGGCCTTGGCTGCGTTGTGTCCCACACGGCCTGCCTCTCTGTCTTTTTTCTCCTGGAAATGGCTGTTGAGCATCACCACATCTTTGAGTCTCCATCAGCAGTGCTCAGGCTGTGGCGTGTCCTGGCCGGGCGGTGGCTGTGTCATTACCAGGCTGGGTCTGGCTTTGCCAACAGAACAGGGCAGGATGTGGGATGAGGGAAACCTGAGTTGCTCACCTGTGTGATCCCCTCTTGGCAGAGACGAGGAATGAAGGGGAAGGCCAGGAAGCTGTTCTACAAGGCCATCGTCCGGGGCAAGGAGATCATCCGCATTGGAGACTGCGCGGTCTTCCTGTCAGCTGGCCGCCCCAACCTGCCCTACATTGGCCGCATCCAGAGCATGTGGGAGTCGTGGGGGAACAACATGGTGGTCCGAGTCAAGTGGTTTTATCACCCAGAGGAAACCAACCCTGGGAAGAAGCTCAACGAAGGCAAGGTGGGCTACTCGCCTTTGCTGACAGGGCTGTGTTCCTCTCCCGAGGACAGGGAGAATTATGGCCCAGGTCATTGCTGGTACTGTTACAGAGTGAAACCATCATCTGGTGCTGGGGCTGTGGGCAAGCCTGATACCTCTTGATCCAGGGAAGAGTATCTGCTAGGAAATAGCTGTGTATGTCAGTCCAACAAGAGTTTATTAAGAGTCAGACCAAGACTTTGTGCAGTGTAAAACTGCTAGCCTGCTGCTCAGGAATGCTGAGCTCTGCATCTTTGCACAGTGTGGTTTACAGTAGGCTCTGAGTTTGTATTGCCTTGGGGTGGGGCTGGGGTAATAAAGGCACGTGTGGTGGGCGGGGGATGATAACATGGAAAATCCAATTAATTTGCTTTCTTTTTATTTCTGTCTTCTCTTTTTCTCCTGGGCACAGCGCTGGGATCAGAAATCAGGCAGGAGTCTGTCCACAGCTCTGCAGGCATCCAACCAGAGGAAGGACTTTATGGAGGTTGGTGCTGCGACTGCTTAACTGATGCTGCTGGGGAAAAGCCTCTGACCTTCTCTGGCTTTTACTTTTTGCCTCAGTTGTTGAGGCTGCAGTTCCCAGGACTTTGGACGGGTGTATTTGGGAGGATGGGAATCGCTGCTGGTGCTGGGTGTTGGGAGGAGCGGTGGGTCCCCAGCCAGCACCTGTCTTTGCATTTGCATCCTTGAAATGGAGATGACAAACTCTAGGCCTCTGCATTTCCCCGTCAGCACACGCTGCAGCTGTGGTTCCCTTCTGTGGGAGCTGGCTGTGCACAAGGGCTCAGGTTTGGTGGAAAGGACTGGTCACGTCCACGCTGCCCCCGGTGTTCCAAGTGTCCCTGCCTGGGCTTGCAGTGGGGATGGCTGGGGAGTTCTGTACGAGCACAGGCCCTGGACAGTCTGGTGGATGTTCTTGTGTATTACAGATGATGCTTTAATTGCTGAGAGTTCTAATTGCTCCTTTCTGTCTGCCTTCTTCCCTTCCTGTAACGCAGCGAGCTCTCTATCAGTCCTCTCACGTGGATGAGAACGATGTCCAGACCATCTCACACAAGTGTCTCGTTGTTGGTCTGGATCAGTATGAGCAGATGCTAAAGACTAAGAAATACCAAGACAGTGAGGACCTCTACTACCTTGCAGGGACCTACGAGCCCACCACGGGCATGATCTTCAACACCGACGGGGTCCCTGTCATCTGCTGACCGCCCAGGGAGCGCGAGCCAGCCCTGGGAAGGGACAGGACAAACTTGAGGACGTGCCTGTTCAGACGACATGATTGTTTCTTTCAAAGCTCATGACTTCCGTGTCACACTACAGACAGGAGAGTGCGAGAGACATGGGGAGGAAGGAGAGGGCTGAAGAAAGGGGCTGGGAAAGCGGTTACAGCAATCACGGAAGGTGCCGAGGGTGGTGGCGGAGGTGTATGAGCCTCAAGAATCTTTGGGAAGTGGATTTAGATACAGTGACCAACTTCTCCCTTCCTCCTTTTTGGTCCTGGAAAGCACATGGCTCTCATGATCATTTCACCAGCGGGATCCCCAGCGGGACGGATCCCCTCTGTGTCATTTGCCCCCATCAGAAGCCACCTGTATGTGGAAGGACACCTGCTGACCTTCTGCGTACGCTCCTCTCCGTCCTTATACCCCCTTTCCTGCTTGTTTCGCATGACCCTTTAGGAAGGACAGGGTGAAAGAGAAAGGAGATGAGTCTCTCTCGGCGCCTCGCCTCAATCCTCCCGGCGCCTTTTTGCGGTTCCCCTTCCCCTGCCTGGCAGTGGAGCACAAAAGGGCAGTGCTGGCCCCAGCATGGAGACGGCAGGAGAGGTCCTCCAGGCTGGAGGTGCCAGGTGAGCCCCTGTCACACCTGGGCTGCTGCCTTCCCATTGCCCCACATGGGCTGAGCCCACCTTCCCACTCTCCTGTCTCACAAAGGAGATGGAGGAGGAGGAGCAGGGGGAGAAGAGGGTGAGGCTTGCCGAACAACCGTGCGAGTGTGCAGAGAAGCAGGGAAGGAAACGACTGGGAGACGCTGCTGCGCTGCTCGGAGCAGAGGAGGCTGCAGTGAGGGGGTGCCTCCCGTGGTGGAATGGATTTCAGCACAGCTCACTCGGCTTTACCTCTCTTGCCTGCGTGGAGCAGTCAGCCGCCCGGCAGCCCTGCGCCTCGTTGGAAGGAACAGGGACGGCGCGTGGAGCCCAGCCGTGCCCTGCTGCTGCGTTTCCACAGCCGAAGCCCTGGCCGTCACCTTGGGCTTGGCCAGGGGAGCGCTCAGCTGTTCAGCCCAGCCGGGGGGGGATGTGGGAGGAGAGCAGAACCACGCAACATCCTTGCACTTACACGACGACTCCCAGGAGACGCACTGATCTTGGCAACCGGCCACTCGCACTGCGGGGCTGCGACGGAGCGTGGCTCAGCTCGGCCGGGAGCAGCAGCCCAGGCTGCGGTGGGGAGAGCTTGGACACGTTGCCGACCATCAGCCCGGTGCTGCTGCGTGCCGGGGGGCCTGGCTGGGCCTGCAGCCACCCCTCGCCTTCAGCTGGAACCACAAAGGTGCTGCGCCGTCCCACCTCTGCCCCGGGCGCCGCGCATGGTGACGGTTCGAACCTGTACAGTTTTAATGTACCAAAAGACTCCTTTAGCCCCTCCTGTATTATAAATCTTTAAATGGATTCAACTTTTTAATTATAAATATAAATATAAATATATATATATAAATATAAGCTTTTTAAAACTGTGAGGAGAAGAAAAAAACAAAAAAAAAAAAAAGGAAAAAAAAAAGGAAAAAAAAAAAAAAAAGGAAAAAAAAAAAACCCAACCAAAATAATCCAACCAACCACCACCAAACCCCAGCAAAACCCACGGCAGAAAACGAACACAGTCTGACGTTCAGAATATTATTTTTTATTTCCTGTTGGATTGTGATTGTAAATGATCTGGGAACAGGCACCCCCCCCTGTACTGTACCTGTAGAAGCAAATGGTGTGAGCATATTTTAACAGAGCGAGAGAGCGCGCGAGAGAGAGAGATTTTATGCTAATGTTAAATAGAAAGCACTTAAAACCCACTGCCTTCTATGGAACACGAGGATATTTCAGACAATCGAGAGGAAAGGAGAGCCAGGTTTTTTTTGTCTTTTGTTTTTGTTTTATGTTCTGTTCAGAGCGGTTTCTTTTTGGCATTCTGTTGGTCACAGAACCGTGTGAGCTGTTTTCATAAAAAAATGAATCGAGGAAAAAAAACCAACGACAAAAAAAAAAAAAACAAACCAACAAAAGCAACCCAGCGAAGCATTGGTTCTTTGTGTCGCCTTTCCTGACTGAGGGTTTCTCTCCTGCGCAGCCCTGCTGCTGGGCACGGCCCCACCTGGGCACCTCGTGGCACTCTGGGGGTCCCTGGCTGCCCGTCCCACTGTGGATGGGGGCCCGGGGGGGGCGGCCCTGAGATGTGGGATGGAATCTCAGGGCGGATGATGAGGCTGCGTGCAGCAGAGGGGGCAGAAGGAGGCCAACACCCCCCCCCCCCCCCCCCCCCCCCCCGAGCCCTGAAGGATGGATGGGGCACTGATGAACTGCTGGCTCTTCTTGTTCTCTTGCCCGGTGCCGCGCTGGGGGCTCAGCATGGTGTTGAGGGGCGTTCTGAGGTTCACAGCCTGCAGCCTTTGGGAGCTGCACCCACACTGGGTGCAGGCAGCCCCCCAGCATCGCCCCCAAGGCGATTCCTGCCCCAGTCAGCCGCAGTCCTGTTGCTGCCCTCAGCAGGGCTCTGCAGGCTGCCAGAGCTCCCTTGTGCTGTGCTGCAGCCCCTCTCCAGCTGCTAAGGACCTACCCTCCCTCCACCTGGCCCTAAGGAGCCCAGGGCGGCTGGCACGCAGCTCCAGTGCTGGCCCCCAGCCCCTCGCCCAGCAGCACAACCAGCAGAAGGGCTGAACCGCTGCCTCGGAGCACACAGAAGTATAAAGGCAAAACCAAAAAGCTTTTATTGATCAGGAAAGGCGAAGCCCGGTGTGCTGGCAAAGAAAGGAGGGGGAACCCTTCAGCTGTGCCTGGCTGGCAGTGGGGCTGAAGGTGCCCTGCAGCCCATGGCTCTCAGTTTTGGGAGGTGGGAGGATGCTGCTTCTGTAGCCCCAAGCCTTTCCCCCCTGCACCTGCCGGGGTTCCCGGCCCAGCAGTGTGGATCACAGAAGGGATCATTGCCAAGTGAGACACACGATCTGTGTTCAGTTTGATTTACAGGATAGAAGTTGGAGCCCAGCAGTGGCCCTGGGCAGCACCCAGCTCATTGCATTCCCCCCCAGCCCCCGCAGCCTGCAGGCAGACCCACAGCACAGCACAGATCAGAGGACAAGAGGAGAGGGCAAAAAAACTTTTTTTTTTCTTTGTTCCCCCCCTTTCCAGGCAGCAGAAGTGGTTTGGGGCTCTTACACAGCAATTGGAGTACAGGGGAGGGTTGGGGTCATGATTTCAAGCTGTCCTCAGGGGAAAGCTGCAGCACCATCACTAAGAGCCCAGCCCAGAGCCACCTTCCTCCCCTCCTCCTCTTCCTCAACAGCCCTCGACTGCTCTCTTCCCCAGTGCCATCCCCATTCCCTTTGGGATTCTGCCATATTTCCCTCCTGGGCAAAGGCTCAAACAGGAGAAGATCCCTCCCACCACCACCGCCCAGGGGGAGACCCCAGGAACATTGGGACCAACGACACTGGGGGCCATCAGCCCAAGAATTGGCTCCGCACAGCGCCCAGAGACCAGCAGGGTGGGCAGTGAGGGCCTTTGGGGACAGCAGCAGGGCCTGGTGCCATCCTGGCCCCATTGCCCGGTCCTGGGGCTCAGTACCCCCCCAGGAAGGAGCCGTTGGAGGTTTCAGTGTAGAAACAGCTACTGTGGGACGTACTGGTGAGGCTGTAGGCAAAATAAGCCACGGCTGAGCCCAGCGTCAAGCCCGTCATGTAGGACACGGTCATGGTGTTCCCTGCAGAGAGGGACAGAGGGTGTCACCCTGCGTGGCTGCCCCACGTGGCGGCCCATGGATGGTGCGGCCCTACCTGCCAGCTCCCGTTGCTCGGGGCTCACTTTGCCAGCAGCCAGGATCATGGGGACGCTGCCAAAGTAGCCGTTGGTGATGCCCATGAGGAGGGAGAAGACGCAGGGCCAGGCGGGGTGGCCGAAGGCGGGCTGACCGTTGGGGTAGACGCACATGATGAAGAGGGGGATGAAGACGACGCGGAGGCAGGAGTAGACGAGGAGGTGCGTTCCTCTCCAGTCGTAAGGCAGGGCAGCCAGGATCTGCAGGAGGGGCAGAGACCGGGCTGAGGGGAGAAGAGGGCGATGCGGCACCCGAAACAGGGCGGTGGGGAGGAGACAGGATGGGGGAAGGCCTGCATGTGGGAACCCAGCGTCGGCCGCGGTGGTGAACAACCTCGTGCTGGTTGGAAACCACAGCGTGGATGGCCCACGGCTCACTCACGCCCTCCTCCTCCTGAGGACACGCACAGGCGGTGGGGATGGAGGGGGCGATGCCTCCTACCTTGCCAACGAAGTCGGAGAGGTTGAAGATGGCCATGATGAGGATGGGCAGCCATTCCCCCAGCGTGCAGTTGTGGATCTCCGACTCCAGCCCGGGGAAGAGGCACAGCGTGATGAAGTAGGTCATGGCGATGGACAGCATGTAGGCCCAGATGAGCCGCGACACGACGTAGCGGTGGAGCAGCATGGCTGGTGGAGATGGGCAGTGAGGCTGAAACCCTGCCACTGCACAGCCCGCAATGCTCAGCTGCGGCTGAACAACGCTGAAAGCCGGAGGGGCTCCCAAAGAAGCATCCCATATTTTTCAACATGTATTTCCTCCCTTCGTTTTTGTGCACAAAGCCCACAGGTTGCTCCTCCCGCCCCAGGAAACACCCCATGACAGCCATCAGCGCCGCTCACCCCCGAGCCCAGCACCCACCTCTGAAGCTGGGCCAGCTCCTCTTGATTTGGGGTGTGGGCACATCAAAGCGCATGTAGGTACCGCTGCCGGCCAGCTCAGCTTCAGGGCCCGGGCTGCCACGGGGAGATGCCAGCTGTCCCTGCGGCCGGTCCTCCTGCACGGGGACAGGGGACAGGAGTGCTGAGTCCCAGGGAGGGAGGGATATGAGGGATCAGAAGGAGTCCCCCCCCGCTTACAAATCTGATGTCCTCGGCAGTGACGTCGTGGTGGACGCGGTAGCCCGTCCCGTGGTCGCTGGCCCTGCGGGGCTCGGGGCGGCCCTTGCGGGGACAGGAGGTGTAATAGCGGACAAAGCGAGTGCGCTTCACCAGGAGGTGAAGGATGAAGCACGTCAGCTCCATGCCGATGGAGATGAAGAAGAAGATGACGGTGTTCTCCTTCTCATCCGACAGCAGCAGCTTGGTGAAGATGCGGCTGAGTGAGATGATGACCCCGGCGGTGCCTGCAGGCACAGGAGTGTGTTGGTGGCAGGGCCCACTGGGCCCTATGGCTTAGGGACCTCCCAGCAGCCTCCCCCTGCTTTGGGTGGGGTGCTCCATGTGTAGAGGAGCATCCCTGGAGGTTTTAAAGAGCCATGGCATGAGGGACACAGTGGGCACAGGACGTGTTGGTGTCTCCTCCAACCTCAACGGTTCCATGCACATGATTGGACACCATTGGCCATCCTGCTTTGCTCAGGATCAGCCTGGGATGTTCCCAAGTTGCTGGCAACCCCAGAGCCACCAGGATGGGGACCTGGGCAACCTTCTCCAGGTGACCAGGGAAGCGGGACCAGATGGACACAAAGGTCCCATCCAACCTCAGCCATGCAGGGGCTCTGTGGTTGGGTGCTGGGGGCAGTGGGTTGCTGCACACGGGGGATGGCAATACTCACTCTCTCCTGTCATCACCCCCTGCGTGTAGCGCTTGGGCAGCAGCCCTGTGTAGCCATAGAAGCTGGATTGCTGCACTTCAGGAGAGAGGGGCAGAGGGGAGAAGGAGGAGGATTATGGCAGCAGCTGAAACACCGGGACTGGGGAGGGGGAACGGGACGTGAGGGCTGGCTGGTAGGTCATCCCAGGGGACCACAGCATACCTGTGCAGCCAAAGGCCACCACCCCAACAGCCACCAGGTTGATGGCGTAGGCTTGCCGTCGGGTGAAGAGCTCCAGCCAGACGTCACAGATACTGACGAAGAGCAGGGGGCCCAGGGCAAAGAGGTAGCCTGGGGGGAGGGGAGATGGAGGTGTGTAGGGGGCAGCGGGGAGGCAGTGCTGCCCAGGGACACCGAGATCCCAGCTCACCCACGGAGATGCGGGTGTGCAGGCTCAGCAGCTCCACCAGCGCGTTGTTGAGGATGACGGCCACCAAGGCCACCAGGATGTAGGTGAGGCTCATGTCAAAGACTATGGAGGTCCCTGCAGAGAGGAAGGAGGTGGGGGCTCTGCCCGGGTTTGGGGAGCAGGAAGGGCTGCAGCTGCCGGAGCCCTACCTGGGTATTTGTGGTGCAGGTAGTCCACATCCGTGATGAAGCTGTTGTATGGAAGGAGAAACCCAACGCCAGCCAGCAGCATGGCAAAGTAGATCCCATGGTATCGGTCCTGTGGCTCGGGGTCTTCAGAAACTGACCCAAAAGGGAAAGAAAGAGAGAGAACTTGAGTGGCACTGCCACACTGGACTGCATCAGATGAAGCTGTGGGGCAATGAACGCAGCTTTCACATCAGGGGGGACGTCAGGGCTCAACGTGTCCTGCAAGCAGCCCTGCAGCTCTCGGGAACAAACACCCTCAGCCTGGAGAAAGTCCCCCCAGAAATGAAAGTGTTTAAGAGGGAGGCAGAAAAAACACCAGAGCTGAGGGCTCTGAGTGCTGATGGGTTTTTAAAGCAGCCCCAAAACTGCCGGTGTGGGGAGAGACCTGGTGAGTACCAACCACAAAGCCCAGTACGACAGGATGCTGTGGTGACTACAACAGCAAGCCCCGAAGAGACATTAGTTGACGTCACAGCATTTCAACCCGTTTGTGGCTGCAAAACCATCCCAGGATCTCTTACATGGGTGGGAAAAGCACGGGGAGAGGCGGCTCCCTCCCACCCCATCCCATCCCCATCCCTCACCCGGCTCCATGAAGGTGAGCACGCCCTTGGCCTGGCTGCCCCGCTGCAGCTCGTCCTCCTCCAGCTGGTAGCTGTCGAAGCTGAAGCTCATCACCACGTTGCCTTCGGGTGTCCCCATGGGGCTCAGCTCCTTGAGGCGCTCCGTTCCCACCGATCCCATCGTGGACGGTCTGGGGAGGAACAGGGGAGACCCCAGGCTGTGGGTCACAGATGAGCGACGGTCCTGGTGAGTTTTGGTTCAGAGCCCAGGGGTGGAGACCACACCAAAGGCGTCCTAAACCGAGCTTCACCACCGGGCATCCAGCGGCACCACCCGAAATGCCCTCCGTCCCCCGGGCCCCGCTCTGCATTACCGGTGCCAGTCGCTAGATGCCAGCCTGCCCCGTGCCCGCTGCCCACCGACCGCCCTGCAGAGACGAAGCTCCGAGGAGGCGGCAGGACGAGGCAGGCAAGGGAGGAGAAAAAAAAAAATCAATTCAAGTGATTTGTCTGATCTCTTTGCAGGGGCACGGAGGTTTTGCAGCCTTTCCCTGCTGCCAGGATGGGGGGGGTGCAAAAACAGAGCCTGCAAGTGCAAGCCTAAATGCTAAAACGCATCAGGCAGAGCGGTGATGCTGTGGCCCTGAGGCCATGCAGAAGTCAGAGTGCTGGGGGGCAGGTCAGGGTCCCCGCCATACCCAGGCTGAAGGCAGCACGCATCCTGGAGCCCCACCAGGGCACATTTCAAGTGGGAGCATCGCTCTGTCTCACGGCTCACAGGGGATCTGGATGACCCCATCCGCCGGTGCCAGCCCAGGAGATAAACCCAACAGAAAGCACCTCCCAGGGTGCTGGCAGAGCCCAGCGTGGGGCTTTTATCCTCTAAGAACCCCCATCTGGAGACGGTTGGGAGCACCCCAGAGATAGCAGTGCTGCCCCGAACTTCTCCGTGGTACGGGATGAGCTGCACAGCCCCCCCTGCATCCCCACCCCGGGATCAATCTGCCTTATTTTCCCTTTTGGATTTACAGGGAGGAGGGCCGGGGCCTGTCACCTCTCCGGGTGGGTGCAGAGTGAGGGAAAGAGCAGAGGATGCTTCCATTGGGGATGAGCTGATGATGATTGTAATCGGGAAAAGGGTCCTTGCCAAAAGGAGGAGCTTCCACGGGGGATGATTTTATCACCGTGATTATTTTGTTCTGGCAAAAATAAAGGCTCCCCATCTTGGGGATTCATCAAACCCCACCGGAGCAGATGCGCGGTCGAGGCGAGGATGCCGGGGAGGAGAGGTGGGTCTGAGGCAGGGGTTCGTCTCCCTCCCTTCCTTCCCTCCCCTCCGCCCAGCCCCGTTTCCCCCGCCAGCCCCAGACAAAGCCGGTCCCGTTCTCACCCAACAGGTCGGCACCGCTCTTACCTCCCTCCTCCTCGCCAGCTCTGCGGCACCGGCCCTTCAGCCGCCTCAGCCCCCGGCGGATCCCCCCGGCCCCTCCATCGCGGAGCTCCGTTCTCGGGGTGGGGGCACCGGCACCGGCGAACGCGGCGACTCCGAACGGGGGCGGCTCCGTCCCCACCTCCCGCCCCTCCCCAGCCCTCCGCCGCCCCTCCCCGGCAGCGATGGCCCCGAGGCGCACAAATGGCTTTTCTGCCGAACGGAGCGCCTTCACGGCCCTGCCTACAGACGCGGCCCCATAGGGACCGCCCCTAGGGACCGCCCGCAGGTGCGGGGCTGCAAACAGAGCGTTCAGCGACATGAAAAACCGTTCCTCGTTTCCTTTAGGGCATTCGAGCTTTGCTCCCGTTGCAGGGAGCTTTCTCTTCCCCTCCGAACATGAGACGGGGCGAGGGGTCCAGCATTGGCAGGTCCAAAGATGGATGGATGATCATAGAATCAACAAGGCTGGAAAAGATCTCCAAGATGAGCCAATGCCACAGTCCACACATCACCAGTATTTCCCACTAAACCACCTCCCTTGGCACAACATCTACACGTTTCTTGAACAGCTCCAGCAAAAATTCTGCGTGCTGAACAGAGGGATGGATGGATAAATGGATGAGCGTACAGAGAGGATGGATGGATAGAAGTACGGAGAGGATGGATGGATGTACAGTTATGGTGGACGGCTGGAGAGGTGGGCAGATGGATGGAGAGAACAGACTGATGGACAAATGCACCACAGAGGTTGGGGAGACATCAAAAATCACTGTTCCAACTCCCTGCAGTGTGGTGGTTGCCACCCCTCCTGTCCAACCTGGCCATAAATGCCTCCAAAGATGGGCAAGATGGAGGCGATGCAGCATGCAGAAAACTGAAGGGTTGTGGGGTCAGAGAATGGGGAAGCCCCTTCTCCTCCTCATCACTGGGAGTGGAAGTGGGGAACCAGCAGCGTGGAGTGGTGGGGACACGAGGCAGGGGAAAGGATGCACGTTCCCAAGCAGGGGCTGCATGCAGGGACAGCACGAGCATCACACCCTCCTGAGCAGGGCAGGAGCCCTCAGCCCCAATTGGGTTCTAAAGATGGGGGACCCCCATGACCCCACCCCCAGGGCAGGGATGGAGCAGCACAACCCTAAGAGGCACCAAAGAATCCCAGCTTGGCATCAGCAGGGTGCGAGCGCCGCACGAAAAGAGCAGGGCGAGCTGCAGCATCTGTGCACGGCTTTCCCCTGCTGCCTCCGCGCTGCCGGCAGCGTTACTCACCCAGCAGCCATCCCAGCTCTTCTGGCACACAGCTAAGCCAGGGGTCCCATAGAAGCTGCAGGGCCTATAGAAGCCCCCTCGCTCACGTCAGCATCCTCATCACCTTGGAGTGGATCTGGGGCTCTGGGAGGTGCTGTGAGCACACACCTCGAGGCAGCAGCCACTGATTTTACCCTGAAATCACACAACCCCATCATCTCCAACTCAGGGCAGGAGGAGTTCGCCAACTCCCTTCAGCTCAGTGCTGCCGGAGGTGCAAATCCAAAAAATGACCCCAGGATATGTGCACAGGGCTGAAGTGAGGCCACAAAGCCTTGCTGTTTGCAACACAGAGGCAGGGCTGGAAGCAGGCATGGAGCCAAAGCTGCGCTCCCAACCCCAGCAACAAGCGCACAGAAAGCTCTGTGGCTCAGGGCAGCCCTGCCACGAATCCCTTCTGAGCGCTCTCTCCTCTCTTCACCCTCCCAAAAGGCAGCACCAGACCCTGCTGCCCTCCCACAGTGCCCCGTGCTGCTATGGGGCTCAGTGCTGCAGCCCTGAGCTGGGTTTTCCCACTGAGCTTTGGCACTCTTCAATTTTTCAGCCGGACCTGAATAATTCAGCTGTGATGGAGCTGGCACAAGGGCTGTGAGCTTGGATGCTCCCCGGGTTTCCGCTTGACCCACTTTAAAGGCTCAAAATCCCACCAGCTGCAGTGCTCTGCATGCAGCGGGGCGATGCTGGACCAGTCCCAGTGGCACTGGGGACGTCCCACAGCTCAGATCCAGGGCCTCCCCTGGGCCATCAAACAGCAGAGCATCCCTCACCACATGTCAGTGCTTCGGGCTGCAGAGCACAGCGGTTTGGAGGCATTTCCTCCCTTTTCCATCAGGGCCTCACCTCACTGCTCCGAGCGCTGATTAATTCCACCGGGAGGAACGAGGTGATGCCACCTCATTTGGCCGGGAGATGCTGGATGGGGGCAGCCTCCAGAAATGCTCTTCCTTCCAGCAGAGTTGGGTTTTGTTACTCGTCATCACTGCAGACGTGAGAGAAAAGAGAGCCCTGTCAGGAGCATCCCAGCACACTGCCAAAGCCATCCCACAAACCCACTGACCCCCCTGAGCCCACAGCCCGGCTCACTTCCATCTCTTCCACTTCACAGACCATGATGGTGCTTTCCCCATTCAATCCCCTCCTGGAAACCCTTCTTTAACCAACACTGCAGCCCCCCCATCCTTCCCCCAGGGCTGCACTGAAATGCACACCGACCCCCCGGCGTTGCTTTTGCACAGAGATATTGGGGATTGAAGGACAGCACTTCAATTTAGGGGTTGCCCCATTACGGCACATGGCTCTGCTCACCGCTGCGCCGTGAGGGCTGCAGGAACCAGGGGGGACCTCAGCCTTGTTCCCCTCCTTTCCTCTTTTCCTGTTGGAACAAATTTGCATCCCTCGCTAATTAATCCAAGATGAGCTGCTAATTCAGCTCCTTGATTGCAACTTTGCATAATCGCTGCACGCACACACAGCACGGGGTGGGGGGGGATGTGAAGGAGACAATCAGCACTGGGTGCACGGGGGGGCCCTCCAGCAGCTCCCACTCATCTTTACAGGGCAGGTGGAAAGCAGAGATTTTCCTCCAGCAGGAGAAAATGGTGACACCCCGCAGGATCCACCTTCGAGTTGCTTTTTCCCCCCATGCTGGGGGGGCTCCAAAGGACCCCCAGAACAACCTGAGCTCCTCTGCATGTGGTGCAACCACAGAGCTGGAGCACAGCACAGCCCGGGGGCCATTCCTGGAGATCAGCACATCCCGTCCTCCCGTCTCCACGCTGCTCCAGAGTGAACCCTCTGCTGGAAGGACCTGCCAATCGCACCCCACACACAGACTGCATCCAACCCCAACCCAAAGGCCCCCCAGCCCAAGCACCATGGGCTATCGCAGCAGAGCCCCGGTGGCACTGTTTGGGGGGGTGAAAATCTTCTTTTCCTGTCAGCAATGCCCACAGCCCACCCAGGCTGCACAGCCTTGCTGTTGTTGACACGCAGGTTGTGCCCTGCTCCACCTCTCCCATCCCAACACAGACCCCTACAAACCACCCCCCTCCAAATCCGGCACTGCACCCCCCAGGCTCCCCATAGAGCATCAGAGCCACTTCCAGCCCCACAACCAGGGCACCCACCCCCCACAAACCGTGGCACACACGAAGGGTTGGCCTCCATTGGCACACACTGCACGTTCCCACCTCACAGGGGGGAGGATTTGCATCAGCTTTGGGGAGGGGGAGCGCAGCAAACAGCGGGGACAATGGGGAAGTCAATGCATTAAAGTGCTTAAGGGGGAAAAAAAAATCTGATAAAGGAATAAACCGGTTAAGGGAATACATAATTCACAGCCCAGTTATTCAAATCCTGCCTTAGAGGAAATCCTCTTAGAGTGATCACCTGATTGTGTGCTAAAATCCTAATTGAATAAGAACAGAATTATGTATTTATGCCATCAACTGCACAACCAGCAGCACATGCAGCTGTTTGCAGCCAGACCTGGGGGGGCTGCAGGGCCAGCGCTGCTGGGGGGGAGTGGAACCCCCCCAAAAAACACATTAGGACCTCCCCCTCCCCATAGAATCATATTGGGGGTAAAGGAGCTGCTGAGGGGGGAGGAGGGGGAAGAAGAGTGTTTTTCTTCCCATCCATCACATCCCCTATAAACACAGCCATTTTTACCTGCTTCCCCCCCTCTTTTCTCACGCTGTGGCACTGCTCTGCTCAGGTCCAGCTCCATTTAAAAGCTATTTAAGGAACAAACAAAGCACAAATCCAGCCTCCCAGATCCCCAGCCCCATTGCTCCAACACAAGCTGACACGGCTGCAGCACTCCGGAGGTAATTGAATATCCCAGAGTGCAGCAGCTCACGCGGCACCAACACAAACAAGCAGACACTGAGCATGGGGCCGTGCCCTGCAAACAGCTGAGACAACAGCACAAGAGCTCAGCACACCCCAAAGCAGGCAGGCAATGGGCTGCAGGTTGCTTTTCTTCCTTTTTTTTGGTAATATTTGATTTACAGGGCCTTGATGTGCTGCAGCCCGACGGCAACGCGGAGCTGCAGGGAGGTGGGGATGTTTTGCCTCCTGGTGTGAGGAGGGGGGCCCTGGAGGATTGGAGATGGGCTCAGGGTGTGCAGCTGCAGCAGGGTTGGCAGTGGCTGCTCTTTGGGGCTTCAGAGGCCATCTTCCCCCACTCATCACTTGGCTTCCAACTCCACTTCACCCTCTGAAATGAGTTACTGAAAGAGAAATCGCCACCCAACTGCTTGAACTGCAAATGGCCTCGGGAGACATGAAAGGCTGCTCGGCCCCTGAATGGTGAAGAAGGAAAGGGATGAGGCTCCCACCTCTGCCTCCCTGCTCTGGGTTTTGAAGTGGTTTTGGGGTGAAAGGGAAAGGAGATGCTCAGTGCCACCCGATGGGGTGCTGAGGGGCTGCAGGGTTGACCTCCACAACTGCCTGGGGGGAGGGAAAGGCTCACAGGCCCCAGCAGTGCTGGACATGCAGCATCCTGCACTGTTTGCCAGCCCTTTGCAGCTCTGGGGCTGGGCTGAACACGGGGCAATTTCCCCCATCCTGTTCGTGGCACGCAGCAGGGGTGCTGGGAAGGGGATCTGAGCAGCAGATCTGAGCTCTGGGATGGATGGAGAGCAGAGAAGGGCTGCAGGGAGGGGAAGGGATGAAAGAAGGAGGGATGGATGCGATGGAGGCTCACTGAGGAAGGAGCAGGGCTGCTCCGGGCCGGGCAGCACACCCCATCTAGCGGCTGCTGGGCGGCAGAGCCCGGCTGCCCCCGACCCCCAGCACAGCTCCGTGCTCATGGTACTGTGCTAGGGGTGGGGGGGGCACCCAAAGGTGGCAGCCTCCATGCCGTGCAGAGCTGCTGCTCTGCATCGCTCAGCACTCCTTAGCACACCTCACAGCAGCCCATGCCAGCCTGTGGCTCTCTCAGGGCTTTTTGCCCCTGGAAAAGCACTCAGAACATCACAGTACTGTCAAAACCCTCTGGCTTAACATCATGGGCTTACCTGGATTTTACAAATCTGAAATCCTTTATTATGACCTCACTGTGCAGCCTTCTAAAGACTTACTGTTAAGAAAAGAAAGTGCACCCAGGTGCTGGAACCGCCAGCATCAGATTTCCTCACCTCCAGCAGGTTGGGCAGGAAGCCCTCATTAGCTCACAGCACACCCTTAATTAGCTGAAGAAGTCTCTGCTAAGGGCCTGGCAGAGCCGTGCAGGACAGAAGCAGCACAGGAGAGGTGTGTGCTCAGGGCTGGATAAGCACACACATGCAAGACCACCGGTCTGAACACAACCACAGCTGCTTGCTCCAGTGGTACAAACCCACCATCAGGATTTCCACACCAGGCAGCATTCTGGCCTAAAGGTTCACCTCTGATGATGCTTTGCAGTGATCCACATGCAGGGCAGCAGAGCAGCAGCCGCACCTCCTGTGTCACCAATGGGTCCAGGTGAGCAATCCCACCTTGGGCACGGGGACAGAGGTGCCACCACCTCACCTGGAACTCACTGCCTCTCACTGAATGCAAACAGCCTCCTCTGATCCGCAGCTTGCTCCAGGCAGAAGAAGGGAAACGTCATCAGCAGCTGAATGAACAGTTTAGAATCACTCATCCGTGCTAACACAGCTGATTCTGCCTGCAGCAAGGGGCGGCACATAAATGGCACCAGCAGGAAAACATTGCTCTCCAGAGCCAGATCAGGAAAGGAGACGTCTGCAGCTTCACTGAGTTCACTGCACAACAGCCGTGCACAAGAACGAAGACCTTCCATCACCGTGTGCTCCTCCACCACCAGACAGCAGGCTCCCTCTGTCAGCCACCCTGCTGGGAGGGTTTGCTCACAGTTTTGCAAAGGAAAGGAGGCACGCAGGAGATGTCGCCTCACCCACCTGCATGGCTCACTCCAGAACTCCCCCCTGGGCTGAAGGTGAGAAGCAGCAAGCTCTGAGTGACAGCACAGCAAACAGGGAACGTATGTGGAAGCACTGCTACAGATGCAACCCACAGAATGAAGTACAAAGGAAGTCACCTAAACTCACCTGAGGAACAGGAGAAAAACACAAACCCAGGTCCGTCAAGAAGAGCGTTAGGGAGGAGGAGGATTGTGGTTTCCAGCAAAATACACCAGAAGCAGCTCAGCTGGTCCTTCCCCAGTCTCAGCAAAAGCCAAGCTGAGTTTCTTGGAGAGCTGCTACACAGCAAAGACTGAAGGCTTACTACTGCTGGCAGCTGGGTTCGGGTCACATCATCCAGAACACACAGCATCACCTTCAGCTCATCCGGCCCCAACTTCAAGCAGCACACGGAAGGAAGACGACACCGAATACTTATCACAACACATTTAATTGCTTTATGCAGTTATAAAATTACAAAGAGCGATGGGCCAGCAGGGAGAGCCACACACCTGGGGAGGCGGAATGTCAGGCAGATTTTTCCACTTATCAACAGAGATATTGAACAGCAGGTGAGAACTGCAGGATGCAGTGTGGTTTTTTATTTGGGGGGGTGCAGAAGCAAAAGCAAACAGATCCAAGTAGAGAAAGGGTTGAGCTGATGCCCCAAAGGAACCCGGAGAGGTGCAGGTTTGGGAACAACTCACCACTCCTGAGAAACGAGTTGGACACATGCAAAGGCAGCAGGGAAGGCAGCACACAACTGCTGCAGCAACAGCACCAGCACACCTGCAACGAGCACAGCTGCAGCTGTTTGCAAGCCAGGATGACAACTTCTCGCCCATTGCTTTCAAGGCAGTGGAAGGTGGGGTTGGCCAATCTGAAGTGTGGTAAAAACAAAGGCATGTTACACTTTGAAATAATTGGAATTTGCTCAATTCCTCTCGTTGTGCAACTGGAATCTGAAAGGCTTCGTTTACAGTCTGAGCCACGCTTTCTTCATTGCAAGCCTTCCTTTGTGCAGCACAGACTCCAGAAAGGCTGCTCTGCACATGTGCAGATGCCATTCTGCCTTGCTCTCAGATGTTCACATTAAACCAAGGAGACTGCTAGCCAGGACATCTGGAGCACAGAGCAGGACCTTCCAAACAGTGGTTAATCCCCACCACTGCCTTGGACAAAGCCTCCTGTTGCTCTGCAAACACCAGCAGAACACCTGCATGGCTGAGTGGTGCACTGAGCAGCTCAGCAAGCTACAAGAAGGAAATTCTACAGTCTTAGTGCACGCTGCCTTGGTGCTAATGCCATTATCAGAGCCAAGAGAGCACAGCACGGGACGTAAAGCTTTCTGCTCATCAGCTCCTCAGGTCTCTGTGCTAACATAGCCAGACCTGGGGGCTCCTCACTCCATCCCTCCCTTTTTCTATTACACTCAGGTCAGACACACGTTTCCTTCATGGTGACACCCGTCCCTGTGTTCAGAGCTCTCGGAGATCTGCACTGAGGCCCACTTGGACAACCTCTCCCCTCTGCTCCCAACCAATCTCCATAGAAATAGGTGTAAGGAACTCACCCAGGACCCGGGGTGCCAGAGGGAGAACTCACACAACTGGTCTTGCTGAACAGAGCCTCTGAAGATACAGCCTTTGCTAATCTCATTGCACTTCTCACTTCCTGCTCCTCTGCCAGGCCCAGCCTTGTAACTGCTAGATGTGTATCTATCGCTCGTGTTTTGGAAACTCTGACATGAGAAGAGTCCAGAGCAGATAAAAGCTGTCTGCCTCAGCACATGAAAGATGAAATAGGGTAAACACACAGCTGTCGAGACAGCAGCAAAGCGTGCACACTTGCTATTTGCACATCAAGTGAAACAGCTCTTTCCCTACAGTACTCACTGGGAACGGATCCCACCGCAATTTAAGACCTGAGTTTCAGATTCCAAGTTTAAAAGCATTTCCCTCCTCCCCTCTCCACCCCTCCCCCAGCTTTGGTTGTTTCTGTTGTCCATTTCTGTCCCTAACACTTGATGGGGGTCAAGAGGTACAGCCCATATCCAGAGATGCTCACTGACACAAAACAAGCACTGTCCTTCCAAGGAAGGTCAGCCGAAAATGAGAGGCTGTGCAGTTGCCTCCAGGCTGCCCTGGGGAACCTGGGGCTGTAGGACCATCAGAATAGAAACACTTGGCACCACCTGATCCATGGAGCAGCAGAGTTCAGCTCCACACTCAGCTGCAAACAGCATTTCTGGTATGTTTAAAGGGAGGGAAAAAAACAAGTATGCACTCGTGTCATTGGGATGAAACCCCATCCTGAAGGGATGGAAACTTTGGCAGCATACTACAGCAGGGCAGTTACTGAGGGAAATGAGATTAGTTGTGTTTATCCAAGGAAATAAATATATCCTCATATTTGAACACCACCATCAGCTGGGACCACACACCTCCTGCTCCATCCTAGCTCCATGTTGCTCACTCACCTCAGAACACTTCTACTTTTGCTAAGGAGACCTTCCTTATTAAAACAGGAAAAAACCCCACAACTTGAACAGGCTTCCAATTAGAAGCAAAGCAAACATGGCTCACAGTGTCACCAGTCAGTCTGTGGCACAGCACACAGCAGAAAACTACGGTGAATACGGGATCTCCCAGCTCACCAATGCAAAATACCCAGACATAAAAACTAAGAAAGGATAAATATCTGTATAAGTACCTCAGTTTTTTGGCAGTAAAGGATAGTAAACACATTAGAGGTGATAGCAGTATCTTGCTATGTAATATGGCCTTTGTTACAACCCAGAAGTTTTAAAACTTGTGCTTAGCATACCTGCCTTGCTCATGTGTGCTGACTGCTGAGCTCTGTAGTCTGTGCCAAGCCTCCAGGTACATCATCAGCAATGTCACCAGCCTTAGTGTGGAGCAAGCAGACATCTGACAGCTCCCATGGGGTTCAGTGTGCCAGCAAAGCTCACATTTAAGGCTTGTGTTTTACTCTGCAGTGAGATGCTTCACAGAAAAGCTGATAGCACTAGTAAAAAAAAAAAAAAGAAAGTAATTCCAGATCATGGAATTTAGTTGTCAGCCAGAGCTTAAAGTTAGGAGACCGTGTGAGATTCCAGCACGGCTCAGCAGCTTGCTTTGGATGTGCTGAATCGTGGAGGGGATGCCACAAACTGATCAAGTCAGCTGTTTAGGACAGCCAAGGGTTTTCAGAATACACAAGCCTGATCCCTTACTTCCCAGAAGTTTTGTAAGAATGGTAACAGCAGCCTTGCTGACACAGGTAGCTCCCTCAGGCAGGAGCCATCATTGTTCTGAAATGGAATGGAAGCCCACCTCACCACAGAGCTCTGGGAAGAACAGCCACAACTGACTGCTTGACAGCAGACCTGTTAGTGGCACCCAATCCTAACAGCACCTAACAGTCACCGTTCAGCAGTGGTAGGAGGTTCACACACACAGTGAAGTCAGGCTTCTGCCCTCAAGATCTGCAGTTTCCTCGTCTACTTCTATTTTCACTTCTTTGCAAACAGGCAGCAGAGCCAAGGGAAGCATCCCACAACGCTGCACAGAAGGCAAACCAGGTTCATTTTGGCAAAGGAAAGTCACACTCACCAGGTGCTTTGCTAATCGTTTGCTCACTAACTGTTATCCACATAAGAGAAGGCACATTACAACCCTAAAGACAGACTGCAGCACTGCTCAGCCTTGGGCAGCCCCAGGCAGGGTCAGGGCTGTTAAGGATTTATTCCAAAGTTGCCAGAGACAGCCAGTCCTTGGGGAGTAACACAGGAGGTGCTCTGACAGAAAGGGAAATAAAAACAAGAGCAAGGTTATCCAACAGAAAAGAACCCAGAAGAAAATGAACCTTTTAAAATCATTTCTATTTCCACCAAAAGCATCTGGAAAAACCTTCACTCTCAGAGCAGTGCAGTCAGCCCCAAGCTGAAGAGAAGAAAGGATTGAGAGTTATGCCTTCCAGCTGAAAACCTTAAGGCTGTTTAAATAATAGGGCTGCCACACCCTGCAGGAGCTTCCATTAGTCTGATAGAATCATTGCTTTGGATAATTAATAAAGGTATAAAAAAAAAAGTTATTGCTACTCTGCCAAGGAAACAGAACAACCTACAGGAGAGAAAGTGCATCCCTAAAAACCAAACCAACACAAACATCAGCCACCGTGGGCTACAGATGCCCAAGTACCAGAGGTGTACAAAAAGCCTCTAACAATTCCTCCTTCCTTCCAGCTTTCTTCCTGCAGCAATTCTCTTCCTCCCTGTAAAGGCACTTCCTAGATTCTACATCCTCACGCAGGGAAACATTTCCAGTTTTCAGTCCCAACAAACAGAACACTCCCACAAACACACAACATTCAGAAGGAATTTTAATTAACAAAATGGTCCAGGAAAGGGGAGGGAGAACCCAAAAAACAAAACAAAACAAAAAAACAAAAAAACCAGGCCATTGCATTTGAAAGATTGCATGTCAGTCACTAGGTATGCCTGCAAGCCCATGCACAGGAAACCATTTGGACCTTTGTCAGTGCAGAACTAGTCTCAGCTTCCAAAACCACTTCTCTGCTCCTTCCTCATATAAGCTAAGTATTATATACATATATAAAAAAAATACAAACTTGAGTTTGTTATAAAGTGGCTTCTCTCTCTCTCCCCTCCTATGCTTGCTTGGCACATGAACGCATGCAAAGCTAGTAGGCCCCGAGGGCTGCACAAACAGCAGGTTTTGGCAATGAAAAAAAACCAACAAAAAACACAGCTAAAATAGATAAGCAAGATTAAAAGCCACTGAATTGAAAACCATATATTTTTTTCCAATGGTATAGAATTAGAACTACAGCTACGACTTAAAACTGTAAGAGTCTGTCATCCTCTCTCCCAGCTCATGTCAAAGTTCATAGCAGCATAACACGAGATTCCTCAAGAAACATCAAGCCAGTGTTCTCTGCTTCAGGAGTGAGTTCACAGGTCAAAGTTCAGTCTGTCCGGAGGATCATGGGGGGATGCTCACTGTCTTCATCCAATCTGAGCGAGTTGGTTTCGTCTTCCAGGCAAGCTCCACCCACAGCTCCCAGGTCATCCGGATAAGCTGCAAAGAAAGGGAGCAGGAGTCTGATGATCAGCAGCACAAACCAAGGCTTGGATCCAACAAAGCAGCCATTCCAGCTGAAGCACCAGACGTTATTTGCAACAGCTTCACTGCCACCCTATGTTTGCCTTCATTATGACCACGTTTCTCCAAGCCAAGAGCAGTTTGTGATTACTCTGCATGCGTGCAGTGCATATTGTTGCTTCGGGGCAGTTATGCTTTTGTACTCTCTACCCATCCATTACAGCTGCAACTGCAGAATTGATGCTGTATGTGCAGACTATGCTTCCTCCACAGCTGAAACATTAGCCTATACAAAGATGCTAAGAGCCATATACACAAGCTCTACTCACTTGGGAACTCCAGCACAAACTAAATTCTCATCCTCTCAACTTAACAGAGCAGCAAAATCAGGCTAAAAGGTCACAACTGCCGTAAGGAACTACAGGAACACAACATCACAGACAAAAAAAAAAGTGCTACAAATTCAGATGCTTTGCTGGAGGTCTGGGTTCAGAACTCCTTTGTAAAATAATTACAGCATCTCAAGAACCATTTGGCAAGTACTGCAACTATTACTGAAGTAACTGAACACAGTTCAAGACAACGCCGTGCCCACAGAGCAGCACAGACGAGTGGTTCACCTGCAGAAAGCTGCGTACATGGGAGTGCTCTCCTACCGCTCCCCAGGGCCTCACATCACTCTCACAGCCATGAAAAGCTCAGCTCTGAAGCAGACGAGCTCACGCAGCCGTCTGGAAGGCAGCAACACGCAGAGGCACTCTGCCCCGTTCCCAGCCTTCTCCTTACCATGCCTTGTGGGTGAGGAAGGCACGTATGTACCTTTAGTCCCAGCAGCGCTGTACGGCTGCGCCACCAGCGGCCGGTCGTGGGATGCAGACTCCAGGATCTCGTTGGCCGGCTCCATGCTGCCATCGAGCCTGCCGAGAAGTGTTAGGTGGAGAGGTGAGCTGCCTGGACGTAACACAGCCTTAGCTGACAGCTACACAAGAATATCTCATTAGATGTGCGAGAACACAACGGGAAGAGGGTGGTCTCTTCAGGGAAGGCACTCATCGCTTCCAATTCCATGTGCTTCTGCCATCGTGCAGGGGATATGTAACATCACCCCAGGGTTTGATGGTATGATCGATCATGTAAGTAAAGCAGTTGTATTACCCTATCTGCTCCCTTCAAATCTTAGAAAAAATAACAAGGCTCTGTCATATCTCCTTAAGTATTCTACAGTACTGCTACCAAACATTATTTGGCTGCTCTACACGCAAGGAATCTTAATAAGGGCACCGAGAGAATACAGATACAATTTCACAGGCCAGATTTCCCCCCATGAAGTTAGAGTAACACTTTCTTGTTTCTCTAACTGCTTGATTTATTGATGAAGGGAACGGTGTCAGATGCTTCAGGTTCTTGTCAAAGTAACTGAACTCAAACTGCAGAGAAAGAGGAAATGGGATCACACAGCTAACAGCAATTGGTTCTGCACTGCAGTTGGGCAGCGTTAAGTTTCTGCTGGTAAAGCAGTGCTTAGTGTAGATGGTACAAGGAAGGGTGGCACAAGGGGATTCTGAAGTTACACATTCATGTCAGAGGCCTGATAAAAAGCCAGTTTAAAGAAACGAGCTGTTCCAAGTCAGACCTCTGCAGCATGGAACTAAGATTAAGAACAAACTGAGTTTTGTGAAGCCATAAAAGAAATGAAAAAATAAAAGCAACAGTCCTCAACTAACGCGAACTTACTTGTGCTGCTTCATTAGTGTGCACTCTCCTCCTTCTTGGGGGTCTAGGTTGTACATGTAGAGATACCCATCAGCAGCTCCCACCAATAAACGAGGGATCTTCTGAATTCTAGGAACGGTCAGAGGAAATCAATGAGAGCTTAAGTGTCATATCAGCACTCTCTCCTCTTCTCCTGTGATTTCAAGCTGTTATTTTCCACACTTGCTTCTCCTAGATAGGCAATACTGCTAATAGCTGCACATACAGAACACCTAGGAAGCAGCTACATGCAAAAATAAGGTGCAACTACAATGGGGCTGATAGGATGCCCTGGGAATCAAGCAGCTCACACATAACCCAGGAAAGCAAACTGAGAAGTTACCATCCTGATATCAGCTTTGCACAACAGGTTACAGTATTTGCCTCTGGAGAAGTATTTCCTTTCTTCAGAAATGTTACAAAGCTTAATTATTGCTTAAAGGGTGCTTTGAGATCAGAGGAGAGAGACGCAGACATGAAGCAAACGAAGCACACAAACTCCAGAACCTCCATAAAATACATTTACTACTGCTCAGCTCATTGCTTTGGTACACGTGCCAAACGGGTCCTGCCTTTGGAGATGACAAAGAAGGTTACACTGAGTTCTCAAAATTAACTCCAATGAATGCTATGCAGTTGTAGAGACAAGAACAACACGGATTTGCTTTCAAGGACTTCTTTAACCGCTAGTCCAAATTGCTTTACTTTGCAGCAAAGTAAATGCCTTAAGCCCCCAGATCTGTTCTCAACAGACTTCTTTGCAAATCAGAAGACATCTTCAAACAACTCTGCAATAGTCAACTGCTTATCCAAACACCGTGCTTTCTGTCTCTCACAGGACCACGAGCTCCAACACAGCTCTTAAGCCAGAAGAGGCTCTGAAAGCACGACAGCAACCCATTCCTCTGAGTGCTACCCACTCAGCTGGAGAAACCCTCCAGTGCCTGCTTTTCTGTAGCTCTATGTGGCAACCCAGCGGGTGGTGAATGCAAGTACCATCGCTTTACTCACGTGGCAAGTGCACAGATATTTTTGTGCCCACAGAACGGCAGGCGGACCGTAGCAAAGGCTCTGCCCTGGTTGAACATCTCTGTTACTTGAGAGGGCAGATAGCTTGTTGAGGCCATCAGTACTTTTCCAAAGTAACCTGTCCAGGTTGTAGGCTCTTCCTGAGGTCTACAATTCGGAAGAAACAAGAAAGATGTGTCCAACTTCGACCTCAAAATGGAGAAAGAGGCGGGTCAACACTGCAAAACCTCTTTTCATTTTGAAAGAGATTAAACAGTTACTTGTTTGTCTTCAGGGATTACTGACAGCCCTGAGATCTCAATGCACTCAATTTACACTGCAGGGCACAGTATGTCCTATAATTCCCTCGGCCTGTTGCTAAAGCATGTCCTATTGTAAATGGATACTTCTGTTTATACAGCTGCGTTTCGTAACGGTTATTATACAAAAATAAGACCTACTGTAAAGAGCTGCACTTCCAGATATTATTCACCTGTTTAATCAATAACCAAACCACCGTCTCCAACAGAAGTTATAAATAAGACTGTCTTCTCAAACTGTAAATAGAAACATTTTACAACACGGTGCTTTTTAGAATCATGAAGGCAGCTGGAAGGTTCTGCTGAGACAGATCTTCCACAGTGGATGTCAGAGGTGAAAAAATATAAATAAAAACAAATTGCCCTCACATTCCTCTGCCAAGGATGCCCAATTCCTCTTTGGCAGCAATACTTATCCTATTAATTACAATAGGTAGATCAGGAACAGCTGCTGATTCAGGACTGATTTGTGTCCTTCATTTTAAAGCGTTCAAATGAAGTCTGTTCACTCTTTGAAGAGCTCATCCTATTTTTTTTTTCATTTCCTTGAAAAGTCCAAGGCATCTCTGAGACTTACTTTTCTTTCACAGTCTCAAGTTTGAAGATATGCACTGTCTCTGTGTTGCTGGATGCAGACAGAAACATGCCATCCATGCTGAAAGCCAACGAGCAGATGCTCACACACCTAGTGGGAAGGCACAAAGAGGAAAGAAACAACAAAGCATTATTTTTGACATTCTAATGCAAAAGCATCTGGTATTAGAAAAAGCCAGGGTTAAGTGACTCGTGGGAACTGACTTAAATGAGGATATTTCCTCCTCTTGGTAAGCAGGCAGAAGTCTTCTCAGACAGCCACCACTAAGAAACTCCAGAGCACTCACACGAGATGTACTGGCATAGCTGGAAGGAACTGTGGCTGCACAGTAAAATCACAAGCTCCTTTTCTTCTGTCAGAGATTACAGGTGAGCTGCAGTTCACCCAAAGTGAACTGGCTTGAACAGATTTCTCAGTCAATGCTGCTTTGTAAATAATAAGAAAAAACCCAT